CCCGCCCCTGCATGAACGCAACACCCTCAACGACAGACCCAGGCATTCAGACCCCCAAGAGCCCCCGCCCCCTCCCCTGCCACTCCTCCCCCCCTGCGGCGCCAGGCGCCAGGCTGACAAACAGCTCCTTGCTCACAAACACCGCCCCCTCCTCCGCGGTCTGCGCGCGCCCCGGCCCGTACACGATCACGTGCCGCCCCTTGTCCGGGGCCTTGGACTTTGCGTGATCTAGGAACCTCGGGTTGCGCTCTATCGTGGGGCTCAGGCTGCTACCCTTGGACTCGATGAAGGGGCAGTGGGCCGCGCCCTTGATCTTGCCCCACTCCCAGTCTCTGGCGGTGCGGACATCTAGCACCACGGCAGACTTGCTCCTGAGCGCCGCCGCCAGGTCGTCGGGCGTCACCAGCGGCCAGCCGCCGGGTGACACCGCAGCTGCCGCCGCGTCGCCTCCGACCCCTGCACCCGTCGCGGATTTTGGAGAAGAATTGCCGCCGCCGTTGCCGCTGCCGCTGCTGTCCATGTGTTGCCGCTGCTCGTCCGCCGCTGGCCGCCTTTCCTCAGAGTCCGAGGAAAGCTGCTCTTCCTCGGACGACGTCACCCAGGAGTTCTGGGCCAGGCTCTCCCAGTACGCGCCCAGCCCCTCTGCTGCCGCCGCCCGCCCCCGCGCCGCCGCCGCCGCTGCCGCGCGCTCAGACGCGCCGGCCTCGGCCTCCTGCCGAGTCGGGCGGCTGCCCCAGCGCCGTCGGCGCCACTTTTGCTGCTGCGCCTCCACAGCCTCAGGGCTGTCGTCGACGCCGGGCATATACTGCATTTTGGCATCACCATCACAGGGCATCGCCCGTTGCCATTGTTGCTTAATACTCAACTCAAGCATTGCCTGCCGCTACACCCCCCGTCCGTGCATATCCACAAGCAACTCAGGCAAGTCTGTGGCAAAATCAGGCGGCGCATGCAGGAAGGCGCTTGCGTCGTCGCACCTGCTTTGACAGCTGCAGGTCTAAGACCGCCTGCTGCTCCCGCGCCAGGTCGTGCCCCGCCGCCAGAACGGCCTCCAGCGTCGCCTGCAGCTCCACCCGCGGGCCGCCGCCGCCGCCGCGCCTGGCGCCGGGCCTCCGCTGCTGCTGCTGCCGGATCAGGTCCGCGATTGCCGCCTCCGCGCCCTGACAAATCGCGGCGCGCGACAGCCCCATGCTTTCATTGCCAAGCCAGCGAGCCCAGGGGGCTTTGTAACCATGCGTTCGAGGATGACACATTCATGGGATTGGGGTCCCACCCAGACGCAGGACCTGCATGGCCCACGGCCAGCTGCTGGGGGCCGGCCAGGTCCGCAGCAACCGCACCGGGCCGCCGATGCAGCCGCCCCGCGGTGACGCCCCGCGCGCCTCGACCGGCGCACCTGTGGGCTGCCGTTCAGCCAGCCGCGCACGGCGGCGTCGGCCAGGCGGCTCTTGAGGGCTCCAAAGAAGTCCATGGGCTGCCCAGGGAAGGCGTCCAGCACGGCTTCAACCTGGTGGGGTCCAGCGGCGGCGTCATGGGCCGAGGAGGCAGGAAATACGACAGGACGCAGTCAGCATGAGGCAACAGAGCTTTTCCGGGGGGGAGCGCATGGCACAGCACATATGCAACACACATGACGGAATCCACGTTGGGCGGGCCAGGGATTGGGGCAAGGCTGCGGGTGTGGGCACTGCCCATGCGGGAAACCCTCGTCATGCCGGCGCGCCGCGCAGCCCGCGCCGCCCTCGGCAGTCACACGCCCTCCCGCCGCGGGCGCGCGCTCGTGGTGGCGCCGCCAGACCTGCGGCCGCGACAGGTGGGGATCGAACAGGTGCTGCAGCGCTCCCGCCATCTCAAGCCGGTCCGGCTCGAAGTAGAATTTGTCCATGCGCCCCTCCCTGACCAGTGGCGCATACAGGCAAGTGAGGTCGTTGGCCGTAACGTAGATCGGCACGCGGACGCGGCCCCTGACGGCGGCCCACTCCTGGCCGGTGCTGACTGACAGGGGGTCGTCTGACAGGCTCATGAGCGTGCCCTGGAGGATCTGTTTAAGGTGTGTGTGCGTTGTGTGCATGTGTGTGTGTGTTTGTGTGTGTGTGTGTGTGTGTGTGTGTGTGTGTGTGTGTGTGTGTGTGTGTGTGTGTGTGTGTGTGTGAATGCACGCGTTCGTGCTTGTGCGTATGTGTGTGCGTTTTTGTGCGTATGCATGTGTGTGCATGTGTGCACGCATGCGTGCGTGTGTGGTGTTGGATCGGCGCTGGTGCAAGATCAACTCCTGATGCTGTGAAGCCCTCTGAAGTGTTTATGCCTTGCTCGCAGGGGGGTCCGTAAGCGACACAATGGATGATCTCTGGCGCGTCAAAGCAGCGGCGCAGACGCAGGCCCTGGTGTGGGACTCCGGCCCTCCCACTCCCCCGCCCGTGCGGCCGCGGCGCGACATGCAGCTCGGGCCGCTTGCCGCCCAACGCACCTGCGTGTTGACGGTGTTGCGCGTGTGTGCAAACGTGCCCACGCCCGCGTCCAGGTCACTGATCACTAAGCAAGTCGCGCGGCCGGTCGACGAGGCGACTCGAGCTGCGGGCGACGGCAGCAAGCGACGAGCCGGCCGGTGAGCTGTTGAGCCATGTCGCAGAGCACGGCAGGGGCCGGCGGGCGTTGAGCGGCCGCAGCCCTGCCTCACAGCTGCCGCTCCCTGCCATTGCCATTGCCGACCAGCGTCGGCTGTCGTACTTCGCCATCAACGCCCTCCATCCATCCGTTTGTGTTCTTGCACGTTGCCGGCGGCCGCAGGTGCACCCATGCACGTTTCCGGGCGCACCCGACCTCCCCCAGCTGCGGCCCCCCACCTGCAAAGCTGTATCGCTCCCGCAGTCGCCGCCCTGGCTCTCCCGCCCACTCGTCTTCCAGCTCCCCGGCGGAGAGGCACACGGGCGACACGCCCATCTTCTTGAGGCAGAGCTCGAGATTGAAGGTCTTGCCGGCGCCCTGCGGGGCACCATCACTGCCGGGTCTGAGCCCGAGCAAGGTACCAACACCCGCTCCCTACCCCCCCGAGAGGGCATGTGCATGCGCAGCTTGGCCGCTGGTGCCCCCGACGCCCTGATGCGGCCGCGCCCCGCTGGCTCACCCGTGGCCTGCACAATCAAGCACAAGCACGCACGCGCGCGCGCGCAAGCGCGCACAGCCGCAACAAAGGTAGTTGCTGGGAGGCCTCACTTTGGGGCCCCAGATGCCGAGCACCAGCGGCACTTGCCCGGGGATGTCGCCCGCGCCCGACAGCACGTTGCGGGCAAAGTGCACCGCGACCCGCTCAAGGAAGCGCTGCGGCGGCTCCAGCCCGTCCGGCAGGTGCTGCGATTTTGTGGGGCGACGTGGCGGCTTCAGGATGGGGCGCGGGCTAGGTGCTGGTGCTGAGTGCGGCACGAGGGGGAGAGTGGTCATGCTCTGGCGCAAGGCCGATGGCAGAGCGATGTCGTGGCACGGCTTTTTGTGTCTTTGAGCTCCTCCCGCATGCATGTGTGCTTCGATGCTGCGCGCCCTGAGCGGTGCATGCGGCGGTCAACAGGCACCCGGCGAATGTTTGACCCCGCAGCTTCCGCGGCGCGGCTTGGCAGCCCACCACCAGGCACTGCAGCTCGGTCTGGCGGAAGGCGGACTGCGCAACGTCAGCGTCGACCCCCAAAACGCTGCCCTTGAAAAGCTCCTCCCTCACGCCACTCTGCTGGCTGTAAATGAAGTCCTCGCCGCCCAGAACGGCAACCTCCGCCTGCTCCCCGGCGGCGACGCGCCCGACGCGGCGGCGCGCAGCGCGCAAGGCGTGAAGGCTGGTTTTCAGATGCTGCGCGGCGTTGTGGCGTGCTCCATTTGCGTTCGCATTCGCAGCGCGCTGCTGGTGCGTGCGCTGCGCGCCGCGCATCCTTCACGGGGGTTGAAGATAGCTCAGCACGGCAGGCCAATTGATTTTGATGCAAACTGTAGTGCCAACGATCGCTATTTGCTAGCTAATGGATGTTGGTCACCGGAGTCGAGCGCTACCCACGCTTGTGTCGCTGCTTGTTCGCAACTGGCCTGAAACAATCGGAGAGGTGTCGTCATTCAAATTATTTACACTGTGTGATGTCGGGACGGTGCAGCCAGGCCACCAAGTCCTGCGCAACGCCGCAGATGGACTCGAGGCAACTATCCTGTGGGCATGGACGGACCAAGAGCGCTGGAGGCTTTGGACACGGTCAACATGATACCGCTGAAAATTACAAACACGGGTCGCTGTCATGGCAGTCCCAGTTTCATGATGGTCAAACATGATCACCAACAGTTGCCATAAGCCAACTGGGGGCACCGTTGCTGACTAGTTCACTGACAGGGCCGCACTTGTGCTGCACCTTCAGCACCTTGGATATTGGTGCTTGGTTGAGCGCATTTCGCAAGGGCAGCGGCGGGGCAGAACTGCGCAATGGGCCTTGCGTGGAGCTCCACGCCTGTTGCCCCAGCAGAGGTTATGAGACGAGTTGCAGCCAAGCTAGAGGAACAAATTGGGCGGGGAACGTGAAGGATGGTGCTGGCGCCTGCCGACTACCCCTGACAGTGCAGCTGCTCGTGCTGTCATGTGGGTGCCGCTGTCATCAGCAGGCGCTGTTGCTTGCTTTGCCTCAGACCCGAGCGCCTTCTCCGTGGGCAACAATGTGATCGTTGTTTAACTAGAAATGTGGTCCAGGATCGAGTCGCAGGCCGCTAGGGCGGTGGTGCTGCTCGTTGGAGCGCACGCTACCGTGCTTATGGTCATCGCTTTGCAGCTAGTAGGCCGCGCGGGTCATGCAAACGTGGTGCCAGTGGCCCCCCGGCGTGTCGAGCCAGGGTGAGACGGGGCCAAGATCACCTGCGTTGATGCAAGGGCAAGGCGCGCGCGCTGGTCACCCTAGGCCCTCTAATCCGGAGCGTCCGACACGGTCGCAGGCCTATTGATCACGACGAGGATGACACGGGAGTCCGCTTTGCATTCACGTTGCGGACGTGTCTGGGCGGCCTCGGCACACTGCTGGTGCGCGCCGCGGCTGGCTGATGGCAGCAAGTACGACGTCGGCAATTCCAGGATTGAGGCTGATGGATGTTCATCGCTGCAGAAAGCAGCAGGTCATACACGTGGCCTTTGCCAGGGAGGCACATGGGATCACGGCAGGCATGCATCCCACCCCCCGAGGGCGCGCGCCTGCGCCATTGACAGTGCCACGGCGCACCCGCACGCCCGCAGGTCGCCGCCCTCGCCAATCTGGCTGGCATTGGCGGCGGCGCCTTTTACGTCCCCTTATTCTACGCTGTTTCAGGCTTCTCCCTAAAAGCGGCAACCGGCCTGTCGCAGGTCCGCACGCTGCCGCCGCGCCCCGCCATGCCGCCCCTGTGCTGCATCAGCGACAAGCAGCACCCCTCGCTCGCGCTCCATCCTGCTGCCCGGCCACCCGCCTCCGCGCTCGCCAAAGCCCAGCCCGTGCTCCTCACGGCACCGCCTTGGACGCGCGCAGGCCGCAATCGCGGGCGGCTCCCTCGTGACCACGCTGTTCAACCTCGGGATGCGCCACCCCTGGGACCCGGGGCGCCCGCTTGTGGACCTAGATTTGGCGCTCGTCCTGACGCCCGCCATGCTGCTCGGCGTGTCAGTCGGTGCGTCCACGCAACTGCGCTCCTCCTCAGCCCGCGGCCTGGGCTGCCGCCGGCCCGGCTTGCATCGCCGATGACTGTCCTGCTGGGCAGCGTGACAACGGCGGCAGCAGACCGCCGTGAACCTCGACACAATCGCCGTCTGCCCTGAGGTTGGCCAGCCCACGACTGCGGCCGCCCCTCCCACCTCTCCCCCCAATGTGCAGGCGTGCTGCTGAACGACCTCGTGCCCACCTGGGCCGTCCTGCTGCTACTAATCTGCCTGCTCGCCGTCGACTGCAAGGCCGCCGCCCTCCGCGGCCTCACCATGCGTGCGGAGGAGCGCTCGAAGCTCGCCGCCGCCAAGGCGGCCGCCGCGATCCGCTCCGGGCCTGTGCCGCGGCTCCCGCCAATACATATCACGCACGTGACGAGCGCGCCGGGCCTGCCGGCGCGGCTGCAGGTGGTGATCAGCCGCGAGGCGAGCCGCGCGCGGATCGCAGACAGCAGCGATGACGAGGAGGCGGCGGGCGGCGGCGGCGGCAGCAGCCGGCGCGGATCAGCGTCGGGGACGCTCGCGGCCGCGGGCGCGGCGGCGGCGGCGGTGGAGGCAGTGGGGCCGGCGTCGCCGGCGTTGGCTAGGCTGCCGGCTGACGACGGCGGCGGGACGCCGGCGGGGCGGACTCCTTTGGCGACGGTGCCTTCTGGGGACTCTGATGGCATCTCAGGTGAGGGGCAGCCAGCCTCCCCGCGGCGCCATGGCGGAGGGGCTGGCGCCGGCGGCGCCGGCGGCGGCGCCGGCGACGCTGCGGGCTGTCTTCAGAGCGTGAGCGGCGATGGCGAGCGCGAGAGCGAGGGCGGGGGCTTTGGTTCGCGGCGGCGGCGCGGAGAGGACGTGTTTGAGCAGGCAATGGAGAGCGAGGGGACCACGGGACAGTGGGATGTCGAGCGGCAGGGCTCACAAGCCCAGCAGCAACAGCAGCAGCATCAGCAGCATCAGCAGCAAGAACAGGAGCAGCAGGGGGCGCGGCAGCGGAGCGAAGCGTGGGCGGCTCAGGCCAACAGCAACGGCAACGGCGCCGGCCATGGAACCGGCTACAGCGGCGACCCCGAGGAGGCCTCCGCCAGCGGCACCGGCCGCAAACGGAGAGCCGGGGCCGCTAGCACCGCGCGCTCGGGCCAGCAGCAGCAGCAGCATGGCTCCCCCGCCACCCCGTCCTGGCTCTCTGGCGCTGGGCCGCCGCCGCGGCGGCGGGCGCGGTTCCAGTGGATCAAGCTCGTCAGCCTGGCGCTGCTGTGGCTCGGTTTCCTCGGGCTGTCGGCGCTGGACGCGCTGCTGCCGCTGTGCAGCCTGCAGTACATAGTGTACGTGCTCCTGTTCCTTGCAACCACGCTCGGCGTTACGGCCATGGTGCGTCGGTGGCGCGCGCGCGCCCATCGCGGCGGCGCGGAGCGGCGCCCGCAGCCGCGCGCGACAACGCGCCAGTACTTGACGCGCAGGCGCGCTTCTAGTGACGATGCTCGGGCCCTCTGGCGGCCGAGATGGGGCGTTCATGGGTGCGTCCGCAGCGGCCCAGCCGGTCCGCGGTGTGCTGCATTGACACGCGTGCGCTGCCTCGCTGCCTTCCACATCGCAGTTCATCCGAGCCATCTTCCTCGGCCCCGCCAACAGCATAGCGGTCTCGCACCGCGCTGGCGGCCGCAAGCCGTGGCTGCAGGCCAGCCCGCCGGCGTCCCTATCGCTGGGGGGCGTGGCCAGCGGGGCCGGCGGCGGCGGCAGCGTCGGGGGCGGCAGCGCTGTGCTGCAGCCGTTGCTGGAGGCGGGCGGCGGCGGCAGCGGCTTCTCCGGTTCTCGTGAGCTTCCTGCCCTGTCCCCTGCATAGTGGGCGGGCGATCCCCTCGCCATGTGCCTAGCCTGTGCCGGCCCCGCCGCTCGCTTGGGCGCGGACGGCGCCTGCACCGGACCGCGGCCACCCACCGGCCCAGCCTCGAACCGGCGCCGGCTCCGTGCGCGCCCTCACTGCGACCCCTCTGCCCTCCACCATCGCAGCGGACCGCGAGACGCTGGGCAGCGAGCCGCCCGAGAGCCTGTCCACCGTCGCGGCGTTCAGCGCGGCGGTCGCCGGCGCCGCCGGGCTGCTGGCCGGCGCGGCTGGGCTGGGGGGCGGCTCCATGCTGGGGTCTGCCCTGCTGGACTTTCGAGTGCATCCCCAGGCGAGCGCCATTCGCGAATGGCGCGAGCCCTGACAGGGCATCGTGGATTGGAAGGGTTGGTACTGGGTGCAGCACACAGCAAATAAAGCTACAGCTGGGGCGTGACGAAGGGAGCCATTGTCCTCCGCGCCTGCGCCGCTGCATGTGCGTTCCCACCCATGCCACCGGTACCCTCTTGCCGCCCCTCCTTCCTCTTGTGCCCCCTATCACCGGTCACCCCCCCCCCCCGTCATGCACCCCTCCCTTAGGTTGCCACTGCGACCTCTGCGGTGTTGCTGTTTGTGAGCTCCACGGCGGCGACACTTTCGTATGTGATGGAGGGCCGCCTCATCTTCTCATACGCTGCCGCCTTCGCCGGCTGCGCCGCGCTCGGTTCCCTCCTCGGCGCCTGCTTCGTCGCGGCGGCCGCGCGGCGCTCGATGCGCGCGTCGACGGCGGTGCTGCTGCTGGCCGCCGCCGCGGCCGCGGGCGCGGCGCTCACCGCCGGGCTGGGTGGGTGGGACGTGGTCGATGAGATTCAGAGGCACGGCGCGTTTGGGGGCTTCTCGGTGGTTTGCAGGTGATCTGGCGATCTGGTGGTGATCTGGTCGGCACGGCAGCGTTGCGCTGAGGCTGCTGTAGGCGATCAGGCGTGCAGCGGTGCGGCAATGCCAGCAAACAGATCGACTTGTCAGGCCTGGCTGCCATGGGGCGTCGGCCGACCGTGTGTGACGCGAGTCTGCGGCTTTTTTTCTTTGCCTTCTTGCTGCTCTTCACACCACACAGCACGCAGCGCCACAGGCGGAAAGTCGTTTCCTGCGGCGTGGTACGTGGCGCGCGTCCTACTCACCCCGGCCCCGGCGCCGTGGGGCGGTGCCTCCGTAGGCCGAGCCCCGCGGCTGCCCTGGGCAGTACACTCCCTCCTTGTCGACCGAACGATGTGTCACAGCGATTCCTGTTGATACCTCACTCCTTCTGATCTTGAATTTTCATGCAGACTTGGCTGTAGAGTGTCACCTGTGTCTGCCGTTGCGCAATGCTTCCCCATTCCTCCTGCCTGCAGCGCTTGTCAGCCCCGCTCCTTCCTGGCCTGGAGCTACTCCATGCCACTGGTGCCTGGTACTTTGTAATAGTGAGCGATCATCAGGGATTGCGGGGGTTGTCTTGCTGAGTCGGCGCCCGGGCGGTGCACCCAGCAGAGCGCGGCAGGTACGCATGGCATCGGCCCCTTCCACCTCGACCTGCCGGGCCAATGGGCTTGCCACGGTTGGCGTGCGTGCCACGTGTGCTGTGCTGCTTCCAAGTCTTACTGTATCAGACCGTCATCTGCAACTCTATGGACACAGCGCAAACGGCAGGCGCGAGCAGCTGCCTCTCGCGCGCCTTTTCACGTAGTCGGAGGCCGTGAGCACCCTTGCGTAGTTCAAGTACTGCAATAGCCAGCTGATTTAATCGTCTTAACCCTTACTTGCCTCCTACTGTCCGCCTTGCCGCTTGTGCTTGACTGCTTGTCGAAAGGAGGACGAGCAGCGAGAGGCAGCTAACGTGGCCTGGGCCGGCAGAGTTGGCAGGATGGCCAAGTCGCGCCGGGGCTCCGGCCAGCAAGCACAGGCACAGGCCGCCCAGCAGCACGAGCAGGAGCATGCAGAGGCGAGTAGGCTCCGCCTGGCCGCCAGATGCGTTCGTTTGCGTACTTGATAGTGCATAGTGCATGTGGCTGCGCGGCCGTGACTCCTAGGGGCCCGCGAGTAAGGGGAGCCGAGTCCCCATCTGACCTAGCCTGCGGCAGCGAGACTGGGCCCTCACGGCCAGGGAGGTTCCTGCGACGCTGGGGATCGCACAGTATAGCCTTACGCGTACGATCCTGGCCGGAATAGTCGGGGGTTTGCGATCTGTCAGCTTGACCATGCCTCCTGGTCGGCAGCAACCACGCCATGTCGCGATCGCCCGCCGCTGCTGCGCAGCACTGCACCGCGCACCGGCTTCGCCTGAGCTCGCCAACGCCGGCACGTCGCCAACGCGGCACGGCTTCCCCCCTTATCACAGGCGGCCAAGCCGCAGCGCTCGACCCTCGGGCCCGCTGCTACGGGCGTCCCAGGCGCGGGCGGTATCTTCAAGAGTGCCGCGATCGAGGTGCTCCGCATCGAGCGGCGCCTCATGACCACCGGCGAGATCACAAAGTGAGCCGGCGCCACCGAGGCGCGCCGCGCCCGCGAGGCGCGCGTGCCTGCCCGCTCTTGCAGCGCTCCCCTCTCCAGCGGCGCGTGCACCCAAGCCCAACGCCCGCCGCCCCGCCTGCCGTCCTCCCCAGGATTGCGCTGCAGCGCGGATTCTTAAAGGCCCAGGGCAAGACGCCAGAGGCCACTATGGCGTCTGCGCTGTACACGGACGTGAAAAAGAAGAACGGCACATCCGTGTTCACTCGGTGCGGCCCGCGCGGCCCTCCCCAGCATTGCCGGCCGCCGGCCCGCGCAGCCTGCTCGCCCGCGCCACACGCCGCTTCGTCCCGCCGACACACGCTGCCATACCGCAGGCGGCATGGCGTTGGACCGTCTCGGTCAGCGCGGGTGCGTGCCAGAGCCTCACCCACCCGCTTCGCCCCCCACCGGCCCGCCTCGCGATTTGCCCGCCCGCAGGCCGCAGGAGGGGCTGTTTGGCCTCAGGGAGTGGATAGAGGAGGGCTTCTTTCCGGAGGGCTTCTGGGCCGGCGGCGGCCCCCAGCTCGAGTTTGCGGACTCTGGGGTGCCCGTGGCCGTCAGCGCAACCTACAAGCGCCGCAACGCCGCTGCGCAGCACCGCATCACGCAGCGCGCCCC